GGAGACCCAGGATCTAGTCCCATGTCAGGCTCCCTGCATGGAGCCTGCTTCTCCCTCTGCCTCTCTCTCTCTCTCTCTCTCTGTATCTCTCTCTCTCTCCCTCTCTCTCTTTCTCTGTGTCTCATGAATAAATAAAGTCTTTTTAAAAAAAAAATCTTAGGGATCCCTGGGTGGCGCAGCGGTTTGGTGCCTGCCTTTGGCCCAGGGCGCGATCCTGGAGACCCGGGATCGAATCCCACATCGGGCTCCCAGTGCATGGAGCCTGCTTCTCCCTCTGCCTATGTCTCTGCCTCTCTCTCTCTCTCTGTGTGTGTGACTATCATAAATAAATAAAAAATAAAAAATTAAAAAAAAAATTAAAAAAAATCTTATTAAAAAAAGGAATGGATTAAACACTTAGTGTAAGACTCAAGACTATAAAATTTCTAGAAGAAAACCCAAGGTGAAAGCTACATGACATTGAACTTGGCAATGGTTTCTTGGATATGATACTGAAAGCACAGCAAAATGGGCAAATACCATTTTATCAAACATAAAAACTTTGTGTGTCAAATGGCACAATTGACAAAGTAAAAGGGCGATTTATGGAATGAGAGCAAACATTTGCAAATCACATTTCTTATACTGGACTAACATCCAGAGTATACAAAGAACTGTTGAAACACAACAACAAAACATCAAAACAAAAACAAAAACAAAAAACATCAAAACACTCAATTTTATACATTTCATTTTTTTTTAAGTAGACTCCTACCCAACATGAGGCTCATACTCATGACCCCAAGAAAAGAGACACATACTCTACCCACTAAGCCAGCCAAGTGCCCCTCAAATCACTCAATTTTGTAAAGGGCAAAAACACTTTGAATAGGCAGTCTCCCCTCAAGATATAGCAACAGCTAAGAAGTATATGAAATGATGCTCATCATCAATAATCATTAGGGAAATGCAAGGCAAAACCATAATGAGATAGCATCCCAAACCCGATAACCTGGCTCTTACCAAAAACCGAAAATTACAAGAGTTGCTGAAGATGTGCAGAAAGTATGCACTGTTGTTGTAAAATCGTAAAACCACTATGTAAAGTAATAAGTAAATAATAAATGATAAATAAATAATAAACCCACTTCTGGATATTTATTCACAAACTAAGAAAGCAGAATCTCAAAGAGGTATTCACACACCCATCTTCATAGCAGTACTATTCACAATAGCCAAGAGGTGAAAGCAACCTGAATGTCCATGGACAGATGATAGATAAATACAATGCAATATAAATATTTATGTGTGTGCTATTCAATCATAAAAAGATCAAATCCTGTTGAATGCCGGAACTTGTATGGACTTTGAGGACATTAAACTGAGTGAAATAAGCCAGTCACAAATAGGCAAATACTGTATGATTCCATTTCAATGAGTAGTCTAGAGGTGTCAAATTAATGGAAACATCAAATAGAACAGTGGTTTCCAGGCTTTGGGTCAAGGGAAAAAGAGAGTCATGGCTTAACAATGAGTATGGAGTCCCGGTACTGTAGGATAAAAACTCCTAGATGTCTGTGTCACAACACTGAGAATATACTCACACTGCTGAGTGGACATTTAAATATTACTAAAATTGTAAATTTTGTGTTGTGTATTTTTTACAATGTAAAGAATAGCGATCCCTGAAAAAGGAGTTAGTTGGTCTCACAACTCAATCACACAAGCGCTTTTCCTTAAGATAAGCAACAGACCTCTCTGCACAACACAAGTGTCTCTGCATACTCCTATCTCGTCATGCAGAACACCATGAAGACATGCATTCATGCGATAACATTTAATAAAATTGATAATTTTTGCTTATTGTACAAACAGAGGGGATTTAGGGCGCTAGACATCTTCATGTGATATTACTAGCATTTGGTAGATTGGCAGTTGATTGAGGGAAGTGTCTTCCTTCAGGTGCTCCCTATCCTGACACCAGGATGTAACACAGAGCTGGGACCCTGTCCAGAGGTCTGTGAGAAGCCACTGGAAGGTGAGGAGATGTGGTTTGTAGGTTGGAAAGAGCCCGGGCTGCCCTGTACAGAGGGACCTAGGAGCAAAGGCAGAAGGAAGTCTGAAGACGCCCAAGGAGATGGTTGCAGAGCCTGGCCAGGGCTAAGCTGCTTTGCACTAGGATCAGGCTACTCCACATTGCCAGGAAGGGGGGGGGGGGTCATTCACCCCAGCTGGGGTCAGGGAACTAGGAAGTGGCCAGGAGGGAGGGATGTCACATGACACCAGCTGGAAGCCTGGGTTGCCCAGGTGGGTCACAGAGGAAATGTTAGAGAATTGAGAAGGTCCTGGGGGAGAGAGGGTACCCCAGAGGAGTCTGTATTAGGACTCAAGTGCACGCATGCTCGTCCTGACAGGTGACCAGAGCTGGCTTGTGCCCTGCCCTTTACTAGCTGTTACCTCTAAGACTGAGGCCACCTTCTGCTCCCACCTTTAGAAGTCCCTGCTCACCCTCCATCATGCCCTGGACCCTTCCTCTCCCTCCCCAAGGCCTCCCCTGAGGCTGTTCCTCAGCTCTGTCCTACACTGTGGGCCTCGGACCTTTTCCAGGACCATTGTCATCCACGCGGACACACACCTTACACACAGACCTCATCTCACATGCAGCTCTGCCCCACTGGCTCCAGTTCTTGACATGAACCCCCTCCTAAAGCCACCCCCGCCTGTCAACATCACACATATCAATCAATACATGTTTTGTGGGAACGTATTTTGCAGCTATGTCTACTTATATAAGTTGGCATCTATACTAAAGTAATACTTCTCCTTTTCCCTTATTTGATTATTAATTTATTATTTAAATCTCTATGAATTCATGGATTCTAATTTAATCAATGCATTATAATCTGATATTGCCCTTATCTGTTTTGATACTCAAATGGTTCCAGATTTCATCACTGGGAGTCTTGAATTGCTCTTATGATTAAGTTCAGACCAATGCACCATTGCTTTTTATGCTGGCCATGATGCCTTTCCCTGCCCCAGCAATGATCTCCACCCAGGTATTTGTGTCCATTTCCTCTCAAGTGATTAGGTAACAGAGTTGTGCCTGACTTGGCTCACACTAATCTATATATCCATTGCACTTGGAACCTATTGATTATTCCCATAGGGCAACTGGCCCATTGGACTAATGAGAACATTGGAGATATCTGATTGGGCTACGGGGAAAGAAGTTCCATTGTTTTCTAAGGGAGCTGCTGGAAGAGAGGCTACCAAAGAATTCTCTTTCTTTCTAGAAGACATAGTATAAAAAGTCAAGTTTGGATCTGATATAGTTATTGTTGCTACCCAGAAGGAATCAATCTCAGTATGCAGTTGTGGGAGGACCTGAGAGAATGGCAGAGAAACAGGACTGGAGCTCTAGTGACACCCAAATTTCTGGATCATTGTGTGCCTAATGGTATATATGGACTCCTTAATTATTTGAGCCAATAAATTGTCTTACTCACTAAAGCCAGAATGACCTTGTTGTTTCCAAGCAAAATAATCCTAAATAATACACTCCCCAAAGAACAGCAAAGGTTGCCTGCAGACAGAAGTGAGTATGGGTTTCTGTTTTTTTAGGACAAAGAGCATTCTTACCTACAACCCTATTGTTCTTCCCCACTGATCTTAGAGCTTCTAGAGGTATATTTACAGTGTCCCTGGCTCTTAGGGAAGTGTGTATCTCTAGTGAGGGCTTCATAAGCATCTCATGACTATATATGGAGGAGCTGCTAGCAAAGTCTTGTTCACCACTACATCCCCAGCTTCTAGAAAGTGTGTGGGACATACAATAAACATTCATTGAGTGAGTGCATAAGTCACCCAAACCTGTTTTTTACACCCTCCACTCAAATCCAACAAAGGAACAGAAGCTCTGGCTAAAAGCTTGCATGATATTTTATCTCCTGCCAGGGGACAGCACTGCAAGAAGCTAGCTAGGAGAAACTGGAGGGTCCGTCCTGGATTTAGGAAGGCAGGAGCTGACGGTGCCTGCTGGAGACTCTGTGCTTCTCCCCAGGGGTCACAGGGCTCAGAGGCTCGGACACCTGGAGTGGAGAAGAGCCAGCTGTGGCAGGTGTGGGGTCCCTGCAAATGTGCACTAGAGTCACCTGCCCCTGCTGATCACACCCAGAGTTACATTCTGGAACCCAGTCAGGAGCCTGAGGGGATTTGGGGTTCTGGAGATGGAAATCACAGGCTCCAATGACAGGAAATGGTGGGGACCTCGCATTACAAGGTGACCCCAGATCTGCCAGCATCAAGTCCCAAAGCCTCAGTCAAGGCAAGACTGGCTGCCAGAGCCACTCGGGGGTCCTTCCCTGCCCCGGGTCCCAAACCCTGGCCTGTCTGTGGGCGCAGCCTGGGCAGCCCTGGAGGGAGAGGCTGCAGAGCTTCCCTGCCAGCGGGGTTCCTGAGCCAGCTCTCTGGCCCCGGGTGTCCTGGGCGAGATGGTGCCTGGTTCCTGTTCCCCAGGAACCGCTGCTGGGCTGGGGACAGGTGTCAGTCAGGCCTCTGTCGTCTATGCCTAGCCCAGTCTGAGGCCACTTCCTTGGTGGTAACCTCCTTACGCATAATCATCTCACTCAATCATTACTCAAAGAAGAAATCAGGATTATTATCCCCTTCACAGGTAGGGACGCTCAAGTTCACAGGTGTTAAGCTACTTGCTCAAGTGCATGCTGACCAGAGATGGAGCCCTGATGTCACCCAGGGTTGCCTGGGACATAAGCTCAGGCTCTTAGTGAGTATTTCTCAGCCATGTCTAGCTACAGCTCACCTGCCCAACTCCTCCTCAATTTCCACACAGTTCGGGGAGGAATGTATCTCGATAAGGGAGCCTGGAGGGATAAGTATGAGCTGCTAATGACTTTCTCTATAACAGATGTATTTCCAAGTTGTTATACCATGTTGCACATGCTTGGGGACATGACCTGGGCCCTCCAGGAATGAGTCTCTGCCGTCACCTGTGTACTCACCTATATCAGGTCTGCACATCCCGAGTTTCACACAGATTGCCTGAGGGGATTTGTCATTCAGGATACGCAGGGTGATGTCACTAAGATATTTAGTGATTATTTTGTGGCATAAATGGGTCAACACAAATGTCTCCTTGCACAGGAGAGATGCAGCATGCTTGAAGGCTTCCTGGAGGGGCAGAACCACAGAAAAACAGGAATCCGGTAAGTTCTGCCCCGCCCAGACCCCTGAAGCCCCCCAGCAGCTCCTGGCCATGAGCATGCTGGAGAGAAGACCCTGGACTGTGGGCATGCTGGGAGGAGGCCCTAGTGCCAGGTGGCCATGGAAGCAGAGGCTGGAGAGACCGGGATCAGCCCTCATGCCCAGTCCCAAGGCCCTGATCCAGGCCTGGCCAGGAGGGGCTCAGGAGACAAGGACAGCTGGCTCTGTCCTGTGTCAGTCCCTGGTGCATCATCACCCCAGGCCCACTATCTTGTGTGTGGAGCACAGTGCCCCCTGGTGCTAGACCCACAGTCAAGTTCTGCCTACCGAGCCCCCTGGGTCCCAGGCCTGGCAGGTCTCAGGCTCAGGTGGGGTGGGGAAGGTTAGGAGAGAGAGTTTGGAGCCTTGGCACGTTCCATTTGCAGTATCGTCTACTGCCATCACAGGGGAGAGGCTACAGCTGAGTGCCCAGGGCTGAGGGTGGGCCCTATAGCACCCAGAAGCTGAGCAGGGTCAGGGAACAGAGGAGAGGGAGGGAGGAAGGAAGGGAGGGAAGGTGAAACGAGGCTTCCTGGGAGGAACACATCCACTTGTTCAGCACTTGCTCAGGGCCAGGTGGGGAGCTCAGCACATCCCACCCCTCAGCTCCTTCAAAAAGATTAAGGAAGTGGTTGGGGGATTGATATCCATCCCATTGCACAGAGAAGGAAACTGAGGCTCTGAAAGCATTAGCACTTGGCCCAGCCATGCAGCTAGAAGTGACAGATCTGGGGTTGGTCAGCCCTGACCCAGGTCCCTCCTGGCCTCGCAGAGCTTTCCCGTGGACACGTGCGGTGGGGCTACAGGGGAGAGGGTCCTACCTTCTCAAGGGATAAGTTTCCTTTAACGATGCGCTGGAAACCATGCACACTCTTCTTCATCATCCATGCTCCCAAAGCTTCAAGATTTCATGGGATCCTCTGAATTCCCTCCCCAGAGAGGGGAGGGGGCCCACAGATCCCCTGCTGAGAAGCTCTGGCCCAACCAGGGATCAACCCCTCCCTCAGAGCTGCCCCCCCAAATCCCCACTCATGCCCTTGACCACATTCTGGTGGATCCCCAACCATAAGGCCTCACCTCTGTGATATACTCTCCCAGGTATTTCATCAGCAACCTGATTATAATCTTACAAGGTATACAGGTGAAGATCATCTGGTCATCCTGTCAGAAAATGATGCCCCCTGAGGTGATCTCTCAACACCCCCCATAACCCATGGCAGGGCCCCAAGAAGGGGCTCCTCAGTGCCTTCTAGGCCAGGAAGATACCTATGATCTTTTGGTCCATTAGGGCCTGAACCCAGCTGGCTGGCACCAGCCCACCATCCTGCTAGTCTTAGAGGGGCTGACACCCCAGAACCTGTCCCATACCCATAGCACCTTACCCACCCCAGCACCTGCCCCTCTACTGGTCTCTGGTCAGATGCAGAGGAGCCACCTGGTGGGAGGGAGCAGTCAGCCAAACCAAGGTTCAGCCTCAGGCAGGAGTATCCACAAAATCAGTATCTTGAACCCACACACCTACCTCCCCTCCCACCAGCACAGGGATGCTGCCCTGCCTAGTGCTCCTAGGGAGGAGACACTGGCCCCAGGGTGGGGCGGGGGGGGAGGGTGAAAGGGGTTGCCGAGGGAGGTGAGCAGGGAGCCAGCTGCCTACCTTGGATGCCTCCTGAGCCGGGACCTCAAAGAAGTGCTCTTCCTGACACATGTCAGTGGTGAATAAGTCATCATGGTCCTCAGGAGTCAGACCAGAAAAGGTCAGACCTGGGGAAAAAACAGCATCAGCATCTGTCCACAGGTGGAAGAGGAGGGAAAGTCAGGACTCCTGGCTGCTGGGGAGCCCAGGAGGTTGCCAGAGCCCCAGACAGGGATGGGGCTTGGTGAGGAATCCAGGAGGCCTGTCCTCACACTGCCCTGAGGCTGCCCTGATCTAGGCTCTGTGCAAAAGGCACGCTCTCAAGTTCTTTCTGGAAACAAAAGGAAAAGATTAACCCCCCGTCACCTGTGAACCTCTTTTCTGCTCTGATTTCTCTCTTCTTCTTGTCTTTGTTCTTTCTCTCTCTAAACACACACACACACACACACACACACACACACACACACACACAGATTTGCAGACTGCTCTGAAAGGCTATTACCCTTTATCTACTTTCAAAGGATGTCTTCCTTTGTCTCTCACATTCTCCAAAGAATTCTAGTCAGGTGCCCACGCAACCCACTCTCCAGAACTGTCCCTACCCTCAGCTAAGGAGGAGCTGCCAGGATCACGTGGGGAATGTCCTTACCTGGGGTGGCCAGGAGCACCGAGGCGAGGAGCAGGAGGGCCCAGGAGGTCATGGCAAGGCAGCTGCTGAGACACCCTCACACCCCCATTATGCAGGCTGGACACCTCGCATCTGACCTTGCAGGCTCCTGCTCCTCTTGTAGGCCACCTCCCAGGTCCCTGGGTTTACCATAAACACCATCAGTTTGTAGAGAAATGGGGGGAGGAGAAGTTTCACACTACCTATCTTCTCCCTCCCCCCACACACACTGCTAGAGCTTTGTGAGCTGATTGGCTGGGATAGGAGGGCAGTAGCTGCTATCAGCCTCCCCGCCTCACAGGATGTGGTGGTGGCTGTTCTGGAGCAGCCTTCCCCAGGCAGCTTGTAAGCACTGCTCTGATGCGAGGGTAACAGGTGCTCTGGAGGGGAGTAGGGGGTGGGGGGGGTTCCTGTCCTCAAGATTAAATCCCAGGCTAGGACGGTGCACAGGCCTCCTCCACATGGACTCCTCAGCACTCTTAACACACCAGCGTCTCCTCTGTAGCCCCCAATTACTCACCCTTTCCTAACCTCATTGGTCACAAAATTTTCTGGTTCAGGAGCTATTAGAGGGATTGAGAGACACTAGCTGACCTCGTCACCGGCTTGGGATGTGTGTGCATGAGGCCTGCTGGCCTGGCAGCCTGTGGAGCCTGAGGGGCAGCTGACATGGAGACTTCTCACAGACACCCAGACACAGTCCCCTGCCCCAGATCGTCAGATGAGGTCCTCCTTATACTCTCTTTCTACTCCAAGTAGGCAGAGTGGAGAGTGGGCAAAGCAGCTCTCTCTTTGCTTTGCATCTCTCTGAAGATGCAAAACATCTTCTCATCTCCTATGTCCAACTCCACACCGCGGACTCACAAGCACCCACAACCCATCCTTCTGGTTCTTTCTTTGACTCCACTTGGATCCCTACTTCATGACCTATAGCTGGAGAGGCCCTTCTCTGCTCTATCATCAACAAATTGCGATTTAAATTTTTGGCCTATATTTATGAATAGCATAAGGATATTTCTAAATTGCTTTACTTACAAAAAGCAGAAGGACACAGATATAATGGCCCCCACCTGCCCGACTCCCCCCAGTTCTCCACTATTCCATAGTCTCAATCCTCAGGAAAAACTACTGTTAAAATTTGCTTTTTTATCTTTCTGAACAAGCATAGTATATGTGCATTGCTCCACTCTTAGTTACAAAATGTAAAACATATTCAGGGATGTGCACAAAGCAAAATGGACAGCTCGGTTGCTGCCTCTGAATGAAGCACCCATGTCACCACAACCCAGTCTAAGAACCCTGCCAGCGCCCCAGAAGCCCACTTACCTCCCCTCTCCTCCCCGAAGATGACACAAGCCTGTCCTTAATGATACTCACCTCCTTGCTTATCTCTATAGAAATCATCTGAGCACATGCTCTTAAACACTGTAGTCCCATTTGCTCTACTGTTGCAATGTAAGTAAATGGAACAAGACGTGCTACATTCTCTGTGTCTGGCTGACTGTGATTAGCATTAATGTGTGAGAGATTCATGCATGTTGTTGGGTGCAGGAGGCACTTGTTCCGTTCGTTTGTGGGGCAACTATGCCACTGTGTTAAGTTTCCTTAATTAATTGATTCTCCTACTGATGGATGTTTTGAGCTGGTATCAGTTTTGACCGTCTGATGCACACTCATTATCTTTCTTTTTTTCACCTTTATTAAGATATGGTTAAAGTACACTCACCTGCATGCATTGATAGTGTACAACCGTGCTCGCTTCGGCAGCACATATACTAAAATTGGAAAGATAGTGTACAACCTTGACTATCAATGACACTATGGTAGCAGACAAGAAGGTGGACCTGTTCATCACTTCCTTGTGTCCTTTTGATAAATGAATCGATACATGGTGGATGGATGGACAGATGGATGGCTTGTGGATGGATGGACAGATGATGGATGGATAGATAGATAAAGGGAAGGATTAATAGTGGGTGGATGGGGGATCCCTGGGTGGCGCAGTGGTTTGGCGCCTGCCTTTGGCCCAGGACGCGATCCTGGAGACCCGGGATCGAATCCCACGTCGGGCTCCCGGTGCATGGAGCCTGCTTCTCCCTCTGCCTGTGTCTCTGCCTCTCTCTCTCTCTCTCACTGTGTGCGTATCATAAATAAAGAAAAATTAAAAAAAAATAGTGGGTGGATGGATGGATGGATGGATGGATGAAGTTGGTGCCGAATGAAGAAGTGAAGGAAGGAGACCTGAATGATACATGGATTGGTGGGATGCATGGATGGATGGATGACTGGAAAGAGCTCCACATGATATAGCTTCCTCTCACTTTTTGGATGCACCTCCCTGGATACCTTCTAAACTACTTGTTACAGGTACACTTCATGCATCAACTGACCCCAGGGGCTCCTTCCAGTGCCAGGATAGCCTGCTGACGCTGGAACCTGCGTTGGTGGTTGTTGAGAAATGATGGGCACACCTGCTTTGTGTTTTGGATAGAAGCTCATGAATGCAGCACTCTGGACAACTGAACAGATCAGATGGGGAGAACTGACTCACAAACCTCTCATTGATGTTCCTGATCAAAGCTGAGGTCAGACTCCTGACCACAAGGCTACCACCACGTGAGTGATATCTTAGATAATGACACAGAGGAGAGATCAGAAGTTTCTCAAAGTCTTAGAAAGCATCATCAGAACTACCCAAGACCAGTATCTCAAGTTCCCAGGCCACAAGATGGGCCCAGCTTCACCAAGGCTTTTGCTCTCAGACGTTACTGTTTTTATATCACATTCTCTCCCTGTATCTACCTTGTGCTCAATGCTCAGTGAAATAAGCCAAACACAAAACAATTACTATGTGACTCCACTCATAGGAGTCACGGAGGGTAGTCAAATCATAGAGATGGGATGTACAGTGGTAGTTGCCAGGGGCTGGGAGGTTAGGGAGTCATTGGTTTCTTTTTCCCTCTTTTTTTTTCTTTTTTGATTAGAAGTTTTTATTTAAATTCTACTTAGCTAACATGTATGGGAAAATTGGTTTCAAGGGAGGTATTTGTTTTTGATGAATACAGACTTTATTTTGAAAGACCAACAAGTTCTGGAGATGGATGATCATGATGGTTACACAATAATGCGATTGGACTCAACACCACTGAACTGGACACTTAAGAATGGTTGTGATGAGGGCAGCCCGGGGGGGTGCTCAGTGGTTTAGCACCACCTTCAGCCCAGGGCATGATCCTGGAGACCCCAGATCGAGTCCCACCTCAGGCTCCCTGCATCCCTGCATGGAGCTTGCTTCTCCCTCTGCCTGTGTCCCTGTGTCTCTGCGTCTCTCTCTCTCTCTCTCTCTCTCATGAATAAATAAATAAAATCTTAAAAAAAAAGAATGTTAATGATGGGAAACCTTCACAGATACATTTTGCGATTCAGAAAGAATGGCTCACAATCCAGGGAGAAGAAAGACACCCACTCTTTCATGAGAGTAAAGGTCAAAAAGACATATTTGAAGAGCTATTTTACACTGGCCTTTCAAAACTGTAAAATAGGGGCAGCCCCGGTGGCTCAGCGGTTTAGTGCCACCTTCAGCCCAGGGTGTGATCCTGGAGACCCGGGATCGAGTTCCATGTCAGGTTCTTTGCATGGAGCCTGCTTCTCCCTCTGCTTGTGTCTCTGCCTCTCTCTCTCTTTCGCTCTCTCTCTCTCTGTCTCTCATGAATAAGTAAAATCTTTTAAAAAACTGTAAAATATACACAATAGACATCCTTTCAGTCAGTCTTAGACTGAACCTAGTTTTAAAAAGTCCTAACCAAAAAAAAAAAAAAAAAAAAAAAAGTCCTAACAAGCCCACAAACACAGATGTGAAGGGGAATCTTTGAGACATTGTTCCTCTTCCAAACACTTGAAAGTAATCCATCACTGGGGCAATGAGTACACAGACTATGGTAGGTCACAAAATGAACATTATGCAGACGGGGAAGAGTTAAAGCCCTGTTCTCTAACTCAGAAAAGAGCAACAGGCATAGGAGAGTCTCTGTTTTAGGAAAAGATGGCTCCCTATTTCATTAGTGTTCTATTGCCATCAACCAGATCACAAACTCAGTGGCTGGAAACAACACCCACTTAGGACCTCTCAGTTCTAGAGACCAGAAACCAGAGTGGGCCACAAGGCCCAGTCTGGACTCACCTCTGGAGGCTGAGAAGGATCCATTCCCAAGTTAGCAGAGCCCTGCCTGAAATTGGGGCCCTAGGGAGCTTCACACTCTCACTTGTCTGCTGCTCATGGGTGTCCCCCAGGGAAATCAATGTTTCCTTGATTCTCAGTGTTTCCTCGCTCTGTCTTCTCCCACTTCGAGGCATTGTGAAGATTTCAGGGCACTGACCCTCCCTCTTTTCAGCCATCTGAAGGGAGAGATTCCACCTGTGGACAGCCAGTCAGTGTATCCCACCGCCCTGCCACACGCATGGGCTCGAGGATGGGCCTCCACCCCAGTTTGAACAATGAGATATGAGGTGTCTGCTGTGGCTTCAGGGAAGAAAGGCTCCCTCTGGCCATCAGCAGGGCTACCAGAGGAGCCCCCATCCTGCCTCGACAGAGCCGGGTGGAGCTGTGACATCTGGACTGGCTAACACAAGTCACTCCTATGGGGAGAGAGGCACAGTTGCAGGAAAAAACCCTACAGAGCAGAGGACAGCAACAGAGAGAAGCCTGATCTTGGTGTCAGAATGGGAACCTATGCATCAAGCTTTGCCAACAACTACTTGATCTATTTCTGACTCTTTCTGGTATAAGTAGTTAGAACCAATTTTGCTCTTGTTCTTTAAAAAAAAAAAAGTAATACTAATCCTGATATACATATTTTTGCAAACAGAAATTCATTAATGAACACAAGGTAAGAGAAATGTTCCCCAAAGTCAAACTGTCTCTTGCTACTCTGACATCCTAGCCTCTCCCAACCGTGTTAGGGGGACATGTCTCTACTCTCTCCTTTCCTACAACTCGGCCTCAGTCCAGGGGGCAGGGCTGGGCCGAGGAGTGGCCAACACCTTGGGAGCTCAG